TCTACTTATATAAACTTCCTCTTGTGCAATCTCCGTTCTTGCCGTACTTCTATTTATTCTTCCTTTTTCTCTGCGAGGTAAAATAAAATTTGAAATAATTTAAACTGTTATTTATCTGGGAATAAAATACGTAAAACATTGGGACTTTTTCACGAGATATCATTATCAATTCGCCGCCAAAGGTTTTCAATTCAAGTATTATAGCGATTTCTATTCGCCGCACTGGTACGAACTCGGGGCGCGACCACGGCAGCTTTTGTGTTCTATTTGACCGCTAGGGCGTACCAGTGCAAAGAAGGCATTCCATTTGCACTGGTACGCACTGGTGCACTTCCATTCGCACAATGACACGGAAGCACTGCGCACTCGGGGCGCCCTATCCTGCACTTAGGAGCTCGTCAGTGCAGTCCATTACAGCGGACCATTTTGAGCATAGGTACAGAAGTTATGAATATTGATTTGGATACATGGTGTAATTTTGAAGGCAATTGTTGATCTTCTGTCACGCAGGGACACTTTGAATGAAGGAGTATATCATGATTTACAAGAAATGTTATTAAATAATTTTTGTGATTTACGCGAAGCTCGGAAAATCTGTTTGTGTTTTCCTTAATTTCAACCTTAAGTAACTTCATGTTAAGAAATATAGAGCTTTTTAGCAACCAAAATGTAGATATGTCACATGATTCAAATATATGTGCCAAGAAATATTTATCGCACGAGCATGCATACGCCAGCGGAAATGTTCATGTTCATATTTTTATGGCTTTCAATAACCAAAAAATTCTGCAGAACCTTTCGGTTCAAAATCTAGTGTACTATATCGATAAGTGGAAAACGTCGAAAAATGGAATTGCGACAGATACGCACTAGTTTTAAAAAAAAGAAATCACACGTTAATAATTTATGAATTACGAAGTAAGAATTACAAAAAGACGTCATATTATATACAAGTATATACAATTATTATAAAAATTATAACAACAACCATAATTCAAAATTCTTATTTTTTAAATTTTCACAGTGTGACAGACCAAGAACGACTATCTACAGTCCCACATGTACTGACACAGTTTCATTTGTGATTGCCCTTCAAACGTGTGAGGCAGCATTTTTGTGAGCTATGATGTTTTTGCCCTGCACTAGGGTGTGTCAGTGCAACGAATGGAAAACTTTATTAGACTCGGCATATTCAATTACGTATACACATGTGTATGTCAAGTCTACTGTATTACATAATTTTCGTTGCGGCATCTCAAGAAAACAGTGCTATTTTTTTTCTGAAAAATAGGATAAAACATTATTATTCAAATTCAAATACGATATATTCAAAATCATATACGATATCGTATAAACATGCGAGTGCACCTTACGCTGCTTG